ACCGGTCAAAGCTATTTCTAGCTCTTTCTGGGTGGTCTAAGCTGTTCCTTGCCTTTCCTGAACGATCCACGCTTCTTCTTGACAACTTTTCTTTCTTGTCAGTACTAGCTCTTGATTTCTCTTTACTGTCAGTGCTTAGCCGAGATTTTTCTCTCTGTCCAGTGCTAGGCCTACCCTTTTCTCTATGGTCTGTGCTCGGCCTTGACTTCTCCGTTTTCTGGTCTGTAGAGTTCTGTGGCTGATCTGGTTGATCTTCTGTCTTTTCAGATACATTTCGAAGGCGGGGTAATTTCTCAATAGCTGATATAAAGTTCCTGAGATGTCTTAAATACTCAGGGAAGAGCTCCAAATTGCAGTGGTTTCCTCCCTTGAGCCACAATGGTTCATATTTCTCTTTACACAGCTCCCATAGCTGCTTACCATGGGAAAAGTCCACAACTTCATCCTCAGTTCCCTGCCGACACCAAAAACAAAGTCAAATGGGGCACTCACAGAAGGCATTCAAGTCGGTATCAGATTAATGTTATACAAATTGATGAATGGAAAATACATCATAATAAACACAGAAACGTTTTGATTTTTCGGCTGCAGTACTAGTAATTTTCTGATTTTAAAGGTCTCAAGTCTCTGTTTTGACTGAACTGTCTGCCATCTGATAATTTTATCTAAGCCGGATAAAATTTTAACTATTGCATTAACTAATAAAAGCCACAAACATTCAATCTGATTACATCATTGGAAAATTATACCCCTTCACAACAATGAAGCAACCCCACTTTTAATTCAGCCTCATTAATCATAAGTGAACTTGGTATAGCTCCAGGAAACTGGTCACTAATCAGGCTATATATGATGCATCTAACAAGCCAGTTTATCCTCCATTGTAAAATATGCACGATTCAGGCATGAAATTAAGGGATTGAAGGACAAATGAACTCACATGAATTACCAGAACTGGGCAGTCGACCAGAGGAATTTTATCAATGTTCTGAAATTAAAAACAACGAGGTTAAGTATCAACTAGTAACAAACACAATTTCACAACTTAAATCATCAAATGTTAAGCTACATATGGTCCAAACAAAGCATAATACAGAAGATAATTAAACCTTGTAAATGTCAAACCAGAATGTTCTCTTCACAGGATACATAACACGAAGGCCAGACAAGATTGGACTATGAAGAATGACAGCCCTGAGTCGAGGCAAATGTGTAGCCAATTCCAGAGCAGGTCCACTTCCAACTGACTGTCCATACAATATTATATCTTCCTCCTTAACTCCATAACTCTCCTCAAGACTTTTATAGGCCGCCTCTATGTCTGCATATGTATCCTGCTCACTTGGCTAATTGCCACACATAAATCAGCATTTCTTTTTTGGCTAAAACCCAAATCAACAGTACTATTTTCCCAAAACATCACAATTTTACATGTAAAAGAGAGAGTTTTATATTTCTTTCTCCTTTGACTTTTACATATTTTTCCGGCAGTGACACGTGCTAAAGTGTGTTTGGCCTCATATGTTGCAGTAAACATTAGAAGTTCCAAGACAGAAAAGACAGGAATATACCTTTCCAGAAGACTGTCCATACCCAGAATAATCGTACCTGAATTAGCACAAAAAATCACACCCATCTTCTCATTAATAGTTGATCAAATAAATAATAATATAAAAATGATAAAAACCTAACTGCATCAAATACATGAAAGTATTCCTTAACATGTGTTTAACATGGTTCTAATAGATGAAGTTTTGAGAGCAAAAAGAAAAAGAAGAAGTTTACAAAAACTAACCCCATGAGGCTAACGTTAAGATGAACACTGAGCTCGCTGAAAATGTGAAACATCTGACCAAGATCAGCAGCATTTCCATGAGAATACAACACAGTGAGTGAAGCCGATGGGTTCTTCACGTACAAAGCAATAATCTCGTTTCCTTTTTTGGTGTTCAATTTCAAAACATCCACGTCGTCTCTCTGGTGGACATCTGAGATCCTGAGTTTCCCAGTTGCTTCATCGACAATTATGGAATACGACGGAGGGTTTGGCGGGAAGAAGGCGAACTTCGCCGCCATAGAGGATGTTGCAGTACCCATTTGGATTGACGAAACCACTAAAAACACAAGATTAGAATCAGTTTTAGGTGTGAAAAGTTGATAATAAGAATTGCATGGTAAAGTAGTAAAGTTTTAAACTATAATTTAAGGGTTTGATTAAGTGTTTTTTTGTTTCTCTGGCGTGTAGAAAGAGAAAACAAAGAGGTTAAGGTTTGAGTTAAAATTTTATAGAATATGGGGTTTGGTGGTTTGTGTTTGTTTCTTGAGAAAATGAATGGAGGCGCTATGATTTTTGGCAGAAGAGAAAGACAGAACATGGAAAGGACAAAGTAAGCTAGAAGAAAGAATTTTTGTCGGTTATTTACCTTATAAGAGTGATTAGCGGCTTCCAAATGCGTTAATTAAAAGTTATAAAAGCTGATAAATTAAATTAAAATATTATGAATACACGTGTAAAAGTTTTGGAATTACAATGTTGAATTTTTGAAATTCAATTTAGAGAAGAGGCATAAGCCATTCATTCATATAATATCTAGTGGGGGCAGTAGTCTGGAAAATGAAATCATGGGTTGGCCATCTTGTTCAAATAATGCATGGCAATAAATGTTTAATGTTTATATCTTTTTTTACCTAAGCATACTCTTCCATAAATAGGAATTTTCTTCAATTACCATTCTACAAAATACATTATGGAATTTTTTTTTTCTATAATCGAGGTGTCTGAGTCAGTTTATGTGTATCTCAACTAATCTTCGAAGTCCATTGAACACCTTACAAACTCAAATGATCAGATAAATCATAATGTTATTGTGATATATAACCCTAAAGTTTGAATCGAGAAACTCAAAGATATGAGTAAACCTCTTTGATCACCAGACTGACCTGGATTTAAGATACGTATATATATATTCATATGATATCCCAAATGATTTTAATATGAAATTCTACTTCTAATTTATATACGATAGAATGAAAAAACAAATAAAGTGTATCAAATGAGTTGACTAATCATTTTATGTAACATTAAGATAGGGTCTTGACTGACATATCTTTACCAATCAATCTATAATTTCGAGTTTTCGAAGGGTAAAACTTGACTTTTCCTATAATTGCTTTTCTACGAAATTATCTCTTCATATAGTATAAAATAACTGAATTAACTCAAAAAAAATGTCACATCCATCCACCCGTCTTATTAGGAAAATATATTCAGATTCCCAAATATTACTAGTATATTTGCATGTCATTTCATCAATCCTTTTTTATTATCCGTAGATTTTATTTTCTTTATTGGACGTTTTAGTGTCTTTTTTTGTTTTCTATAGGTAATTAAGGATATCTGGATCAGTTTATACATATTTTAACTAATCTCTTGAAGTAATTAGTGATATTCAGATCCCTCGGGATAGGAGTAAATCCAGTCCCTTTGAGAGTAGGCCTAGACCTACCTTCATATTATTTTTTTTAAATTATTAATATATAGATCCACAAAAAATTGCTATTAATATATATACTCAAACTTACTCTCATATTTAAAAATAAATTAGAACTATTATACATATATCTAGGTCCACAAAAAACTTGTTATTAATATATATATTCCAAGCCCACTTAAAATTTTCTCCACTCTTTGTCTCCGTTAGCTTTTTATGATTTTATCCACTAAATTCTTTACTCTCTCATTCTCTCATTCTCTTTCTCATGTTATTAGCTCTTAAAACTTTTAAGGACTGAAATTGTTAAAGCTTTCACTACTTAAGATGTCACAATTAGTTTCGTTTTCTATTTTATCAGTTTTAGGTATGTGTATTGTTTATTTGAATTTAGTTTATCTTAAGGTTGAGTTATGCTTGTTTTTTTTGTGAGTATATTTTGTGTTTTGTGTCTAAGAATGAACCTGTTTTCCCAAATTAAAACCTTAAATATATTTTAAAGGACATTATTCTTCACTCTCGCCCACTACTTTCCTACATTTCAAACGTCATCGTTCGGCTGTTCAAAATTATTAAAAAAAATTTTAGTTACTATCTATGTTTATACCAAGAAAATTCCCCATTTTTAAATTAATTCATATCTAAAGTCAACACAATGTTGACTTAATTTAAGTTTTAGTTTACTTTAGCTTAGGTTAGATCTGATCAAAGTCATGAAAATTTATATTATAATCTTTGGATGCCAAAAATTAAAAAAAAAAAAATATTAAAAGAAATTTTGCTAAAGGTTTACTCAACACATTTACTCAAAATTTTGCTTCTCATAAATTTATTCAAGCAAGAAAGTAGTGTGTTATTATATTCTTTTCTCTTATGTTTTTAATATTGTATTATTATTATTTTTGCTTAAGGTTTGATATTTTTTAAAGTTTGCACTAGTTGTTTGACAAACAATGGCGGAGCCGCGAAGGCCCTCTTTCAACAAAAATCCTAGATCCGCCACTATCTCAAGGTAATCAAGGATATCCGGGCTAGTTTGCACGTATCTCAACTAATCTCGCATACACCTCAACTAATCCCTTGAGGTCTTAAAGTTAAGGGTCGGGTAATCCTCCAATTGTCACTCTTATTAGCAACAGAAGGAAATCGAACTCAAGACGTTTTAAGTAATATATCCAAAAGTCTCAGTTGACCATGTGGCCACGTAAGGGTTAGTTATTTGACGTTTTAGTTCATATTAGGTCTTGTTGATAAAAATTAATACAAATATCGTTAATAGTATATCAATATTCTCCTATAGAATTATGTGTCTTAGAATATGATATTATGATAAATAATATAAATAACTATTTTCTTAATTTAAATGTATGTTCGTGAAGTTAATATATATATACAAAAGATGAGTTGTCACTACTTTAGAATTAATTGGAGAGGTCGTTATAATTAATACCAAAACCAAAAAGTTGCTTTCATGACTTTTGCTCTCATAAACATTATAAAAAAAATAAAGGGAAAAAGATTTTATATTGGAAGCAAAAGCAAATACGAATGATGAATAAGTGGGGGACTAATGACCATAACCTAATTACAAAACAAAGAAAATATATATACACATATATATATATATATAAGTGGGACATCTTCATTATTATGTATAAACTACAATCCATCTTTACTTTTGACTTTCAAGTTATGATATATTTCTCACAGCTAAGCTCCCACCCATTTTATATAACCAACTGCTAGCTAAGCTAATCATCTCCTTAATTTGTTCTTAATTAACATAACTCAAGCACAACACTCCCTCTCCATGTTGAAATGATGATTTCTTCACATTTATGATTGTACAGGGCTTTGAAAACGCCAAGGAAGAATGAATGGCTAATATTTTCGGCTTCTTGTGAGCTTCTGGTATTGTAATTGTGGTGGTGGGTTGGGAATGGCAGCTACTGTTTGGAACTGTAGAATGGAGCCCAAGCGTGCGGTTGTAAGGGAGCAAGCAATTAATCACCTTCAATCAACACCTTCTGGGCTTTGTCAGAACAATCGACATGCTTAATTGAATGCGAAAGAAACATGGTTCATCATTTATTTTTCTCCAAGTACTCAGATTTAAAGGATGTATGACAACATATAGTGAAACTGTAGTGTGCTTAAGATTAATCTCTAATCACCAAAACAAATCTCCTTGGGAAAATATGTCAGCCCTAAGTCGTTAATGTTATATCTCACGCCTTAAACAAACGGTAAATTAAAGAATCAAACAGATCACACACACACACAAGAACACCAAGATTTCCTGTGGTTCACTTACTCAATTCGAGTAAGTTACGTCCACGTTAAGCTCGGGAAACAAGCGAGCTCACTGCACTAAAATTTACCAAGAACTCAGTTCAGATTACACACAGTATATCAAGCCCCTCAATCCTTATCTAAATCTGTAACTCACCATAGAGATCCTATCTTTGAAATCCCTAATGATCTATGTATACTAATACACTCGAATGACCTGAAACCAGCCACTCAATCACCAGTTACAAGATTCAATCCACAAAATTAATTAATAAATCCTAACAAACCCAATTTTGCTGATGAAGAAGAGAGAGATAAAACGCTTTAGCTCTCAATCTACCCTATTGGTAAGCTTTTATATGGTTGACTAAGGGACTCATTCCAACCATTGGATCTTCAGTTAATCAACGCTCAAAAGACCTTGCTTCATTTAATCATAAAACGTCACCGTTTCAAGCCATCACAATAACAGTAAATCTCTACAAATTAAGGTAGAATTAAGTCGCCATTCATTTAATTTATGTGTAATCTTGTAACTAGGCGTTCATTCTTTGACTACTTGACCAGTCATTGATCATATTCACCTGATGACCCGATGACAATAGCCCAAAAAACAGAAAAACCATAGTTAGGCCTTTGACTTTGGACCAGCCCCTGGGTTGGTCAGGACTTTGGAGATCACTCTTTTGTTTCCTACGCATGCCAAGAAAAATTCATGGAAAATGGATATCAAGAAGTTGAAGGAGGTCTTAGAAGTGATCAAAAAATTGTTCATGTGAACCCGACGAAATCAATAGTGGGTGTATTGGTATTTGGTAACTGAGAAAATTAAGACAAGACTTTCAAACATTTGATAATAATCATACTTTTGTTATTACTTATTGACTTTGCTTATACATGCATTAGCAACTTTACTGTGGCCTGTTCCATTTTATAAAGTTAATTTCGTCGATTTTGAATAATTACCATGTTATTACTTGTGCTATTTTTGTTGATTGTGGTGTTCATGTGGAGCAACATGGTTTCAGCTACAATCCAAGTGACACTTGGGTTGGAACATTGCGCAATTTCCGACGACGGAAGAAACTTGCAGCCTGCTGTTTAAGAACCTTGTGAGAATTCCAGTCTCGCAGTCCTCAAGGGACACCCACTGAATATCAATAAAATGATAAGTTGTTGAAAGCAAACTCTGTTAATTCTTCAAACTCCAATGTTCTAGCTAAACTCTCACACCTTTTTACGATTTACTATTTGTTTTTGTGGTTCCATGCTGCCATAGAGCTACACCTACACTAAGGAACATTGAAATACTCAATATTCATGTTTAAATATACGGGGAACAGTAACCTCTCAAATATATAATAATTGAACATAGAAAACTTAGCCTTAAATTAACTAAATCAAAATGCCACCCTCCTCGCAAACCAAGCAAAGATCTTCTCGTTGATTGCATGGCGGTAGACAGGCGCAAAACACACATTTCTTACGTTTCACGTTATCGTATGAACCAACACACCACCGCTTGTTAATGTTAAGTTGATTCATGGCCCTCTCACTTAATTCATTTTATTTTTTCAACTTTTGTTGGTACTATTGAATCTCTCTGTTGGGACCATCGAATTTCCCTGTGATTAT